AGTTATTGAGTCGTGTAAAGCAGCAGGAAATTGATTTTGTGGTGAGAGTCTATAATTTATTACTTGAAAATTTTTTGTGTTGTTTGTTAGTCAATTAAACCTTTTTTTTCATAATTCATATAAATAATTACCAAAAAGTCTTGCATTTGCAGATTTTGCAATCTTAGAAGTACTACTACGATAACCAGGAGGATATAGAACATATGCTCCACCATGTAAATACAAAATAACTTTATCATATTTTTTCTTTTTATTATTGTCTTCATTTCCTTCCTCTTCTTTCTTAACATAAACCCATTCGCATTCTAATCCATTCCCAAGATTAACACTTTTCCAATCATCAAGAAGCACGTGATTATAATCTTTTAAAACATCATCAATGTAAATTTCTGATCTTTTACGAAGTGAATTTGACAATGTCAGCTCATCTACAAGTACACCATCATCGACAGCTGTTTTTGTATTATCCATTACTTGAAGATCTTCAATAGTTTGACTGGTTGATGATGCTATCCCATCTTTTACAAGTTTGAACATCAAATAAAACTTCAAATCCCATGATGGTTGAGGTGGTCCATAACAATAATAATTGATGGTGGATGAGCATATCATAGGCACTTTTTGAAGTAACTTTGCGAAATCTGACATATTTTTTTTTTTTTTTACAAAAATTAAGATTTTTTTTTTTATTAAAAAAATAAATGTATTGGTATGCTATTTACATATTAATATTAATATATTAATTACTAAAATTCAAGTTCATTCGTTCCACATACATGTTAGTGAAAATCAACTTGAAACAATTTTTGAGAAACAAACTATTACCAATTGTGATCAATAAATGGGAAATTTTTTTGTAGAATTTACCTTATTGTAGTTAAATTATCGGTATTGATGATATTGTTTTCCGCCGTTGCTTTATTATTAAAAATAAAATAGTAACAATAATAAAAAAATACTCAAAAAGAGTTTGAATTTTCTTTTAAGAAAAGAATATATGAATATTATTTTTACAAGTCTTTTTCTTTTTTTTTTATAAATAAATTTCCAACTGATGGTACTGGACTTACCAAGTAAATTCTTGCTTGCATGGCAAGATTGGTGAAAAAATTTTTTTTTTTTGACTTCACCAAACAAGTGGTTTGCAAGTTCTACTGCTTTATTATTTTCAAAATATTTTACATGTCCAACTATTAACATTACTTCTTTGAATAATTGTATTATTATTTGAATTAGTTGAAAATGAACCCGAATGTAAACTTGTTATCACTGTCGGATATATTTTGATAATCACTATTCTTTTCTTATTATGTATTATTATTATTATCTTTTATTCTGCTACGAGTATCATGTTTTGATTTTGGCAAATTAATGGTAATTTTTTTCCTTCCTGTTATTCTAGGCAAGTAATGAAATGAACTTTAAGAGAAAAAAAAATTATTTTAATTATAAATACATTTTTAGAAATGGGTTTCATCGTGCTCTTTTCAAACCAGAACAAGACATCATCTAACAACCTAGCTTATATGTAGCAATAAATTATGTATCAAAAGTAAGCACCAGCAGATACCTCAAAAGAAAACTCGTGTCAACAAGAGAATCTTTTATTGTTGAAATCACAATTATACCCCTACATCTAAATATGCTTGGAGTCGTTTTGAAGATAAATAATAGACTTATTATATCAAGAGTCCATGGTAAGAATGCCTCGATGGAAAACTATGATGGTAATTTGATAAGAACGTTGCTGAATTTCTTGAAAATTATGAAGTCTATGGACTTACCAAGTCAAGCCCAGGGAGAAATATAAATCGATTAACCCAATCATTTATATTTTCACCAACAGAAATGAGTTATAAATCAATTCATAGATATTTCCTTGCTGGTATAGAAAAAGACAGCAATTTTAAGTCCTTGGGATTCAATTTACGAGCACAAGAACATATTTACGTAATAATATAAGTCTTTCATGACTATTTTGCTGTCTTTGTTTCTATTTGAGCAACTATTTCTTTTGAGATTTAACCTTTTCCGCTAACTGGAAAAACTTACTTTTTACTTTAGATAAACTAGGTAAAAGTTTATTGGATAAATATAGTTGTCGTCGTAACTCTTTTTCTTCGTCAGATTCATCTAACAATTCAGACTTTTTTCTTTTAGTTGTTTTTGTAAATTTGTAAATCTCTGCTTTAGATTATCTCATCTGCTTCATTTAATAAATCTATCGCTTCATTATATTCTTTAATTAATTCTATCTTTTGACCATTGTTTCATGCTTTAGAAACTCCCAGAGCCTCGGAGTGAACTTTAGCATCCCTTTCTAACTTTTTAATAATTTTAAAAATAACCTCATTAATTAGTTCCTTTAATTCATCTTTATCTCAAGGACTATCTTCCGCATTTTGTATTTCAAAATCCCAAAATTCTTTTACTCTTTCTCTCGAGTCATCAACTTGCTCATTATACTCATACAATTTTTTATTTATTTTTCATGCTCTTTCTTTTGTTCAGTAAGTTGATAAACTTCTTTTATTCCAATTTGAAATATATTCTGAACATTTTGCCAGTTTTTTTGTGCGATTAAAAAAGTCTTCTGACATTTCCTCAGCGGTGATATTGTCAAAATAAACTATTTTTTCCCCCCCTTCTCACCTTTTCTCCTTCTAATCATTTCCTACTCAATTGTTTATATCACCAATGACCGGGAGAATAAAAGACTCATCAGCTTGAAAACTAATGTTTCAAGTCATTTTCCGTTCTACTTTTTAAAAAAAATAGCTCTATTAGTTGATAGAATATGTCTTTAGTTTTAATGTAATTTTCTCATAAATAATTTATAAAAATATAAGTTAAAAAATCATCAGAACACTTGCATGGGAGGAAAATACTCGGACCAAAAGCCATTGTGAGTATTACCTATTCTTTGGGCACTCTAACAAAAATCTTACTTTCACTAATATTATTGCTATTCATTTTATTATTATCGATAATACTATTATTACTAATACTAATATTTATATCTTTGTTGTTTTTATCATCTTCTCCATCTATCTCTTTCTTCTTTTCCTTCTCAACCCAATTCTGAATTGCTTCTATCGTTTTCCTTCTGGGATTTGTTTTTCATTGGTAAAATTTTTCTACTGTGGAAACAGCAACATCTTTAGTAATTCACGAATTTCAATGATCATTCCACTGAATGAAAAATTTTGATTCAATCCAGTCTTTTATAATCATATATTTTTCCGCAAAAAATCATCCGCAAATCGCCAAATCAATTTCTAAATTACACGCACCCAACCCACCAATAAAATTGAATATTTTCATGATGCCGCGCGGAAAAATACACGATTTTCAGTCTCGTCGTCAAATAATTGTTTAAACACCTTCCATAGATTTTCTATTTCTTGTGAATATTTTTTATCACTAGTAAGTTTGTTTATTTTATTTTTGAATTGGCTGTTCCTTGGTTCAATCATTTGATCGATCTTTTGATTATAATATAGAATTAATTTTTATAAGTTTTGTAGTGAAGTAAGAAACCAAGAAAGAGTCCAATTAACAATCCACAAACAAGTTCACAGTTGAAAGTAAAAAATCTTAAATGTTATTGTGAATTAAAAAATATTGTAAATATTTATTGATTTTATTGAAGGATTTGTTATTTGATTTTTTTCTATTGAAAATATGTGAACTGGTAATGATTTATGATGTTTGAATACAATGTAGGATTACTTACCTTGTTTGATACCAATCAGAGAAAAACAAAGATTCATAAAACATATCCTTGAATATAGAATTCGTTCAGACAACTCTTTTATTGATGCAACATGACAATCATTAATGAAGAAGATAAAGAAATTTCTTATTGAGAAAAGGGTGAACCACAAGAATTGCTAACAAATGTCAAAAAAAGGAAATCTGATTCAAGCTGTTGTTAAAATTATTAAAAAGTTAAAGGAAAACGTCAAACTTCATCTAGGTTTTATTGATAGTTTAAAAGAGCTAAATAAAGGAATGAGAAATAAATTGAATGGGGAAATTGAAAACAAAGAGAATCAAATAATTGAGAAGAAAGATGAGCAAATCAAAAAACTTCCAACGAGTAAAAAGAGAAAACAGAACTCTTAGAAGGTGCTTTAAAAAAATCGAAGAAAATGATAGGTTACTGAAATTAACTGAAAAACCTTTACCTGTGATTCGGCATTTTTTGGTATTTCAACACTGTGCAGAAGGTTTACCTTCGGCATCAGGCTTCAAAATTGTTAAGGAAAGAGTAAAATCAAAATTCCAACAATTGATTAGAAAGGAAAAACATCAAAAACCAGAGTTAATTGCCAAAATAGTGGCACCAGTTAAATAAGCATGAAAGGACTACTTTATACAAATTTTAGAATTAGAGAAGTGAAACAGCGGAACAACTTGCTAATTTTGCTATAACAAGACTGTTTGTCAAATCAGAACCCAAAGCAAGTTGACTGATAAGATAATAAAAGTTTGAAAATGATAAATTAGCAAAGTGCAAGAGATGTGGAAGACTGAAAACAGACATGGTTCAGATATGAGGGGTAATTATGTTTGTGATTGTATTAGATATAATGAAGATGTTAACGAAAAAGAATTACCAGTTCTACCTTATGAAAGAAGAGAAGCATCTTTTCACGAGCAACAAACAAATGGGTTGCAAGAAAAAGAAAAGCAGTTAGAAGAGGAGGTGGATACCCATTTAAAAGCCTAGAGGTTGTAGAAGATTGACATAAAATACAAAAATAATTGGAAGAAAATAAGCAACTGAAAAAGTTAACTCCTCAGGAATTATTAGAGGAGACTAACAAGTTAAAAGTTCAACTAACACAACTACAACAACAAAATGGTCAATTGGTTGCTCAAATTCAAGTTAAAAAATGAC